TTTCTATAGTACAAACATCTATTGTTTCTATATGACCATGTAGTCTATGACTCTAATATCATCACCATTTTTCTCCTGCATGATTTTTAACATTTTTGCCTAATGCAGAAGCCAGTGAAGCTTTGAATGCTTGCATAATATATTTTATGCTTTGGAGCCGGCTCAATAAAGGTATCACTGATTGTGGATTTTAGATTTTGTTGTCATTTGGCTGCACAGTCACACAGCTACCTCTGCCTATGATCCTCCAGTTGGTCTCTCCCTCTGGTGGACCAGTGGAGCATTGCAGTGCCTCTGAGGGAAGAGCATTTTCTTCATTGGCCTGCTTTCAATGCTGGGATGGGGCAGCTGTTCTTCCAAAGTTTATTTCTCCAGATGTTTTGGACTTTAGCTCCCAGAATTCCTGACTGTTGATCAAACTGGCTCAGGCTTCTGGGAGTTGAAGTCCAAAACACATGGAAGACCACAGTTGGGAATCACTGTACTACACCAAGTGATGTAAAGACATTTGTTGTTGTTAACTGCCCTCAAGTTGATCTCGACTCATGGGGCTGCCCTATGGATGAGACATCTGCAAGACCCTCTGTCCTCCACTGCTCTGCTTAATTCCTGCAATGCCTTAATACTCGTGACCTCCTTCATAGAGTCCATCCATCTGGCATGCGGCCTTCCTCTCTTCCTCCCTCCCTCCACCTGTGTCCAGCAGCCTTAGTTTGGTCATCTTGGCTTCCAGGGAGGTTTCTGGCTTGATCTGCTCTAGGTCCCACTTGTTTGTCCTTTTGGCTGTCCATGGGATCCTCAGCACTCTTCTTCAGCACCACATTATCTTAAATGTGTTGATTTTCCTCCTGTCTTCTTTCTTGACTGTCCAGCTCTCACATCCATACAGGGTAATAGGGAATACAATGGCTTGTATGATTCTAACTTTTGTGCTGAGTTGTATTTCTTTGCATTTTAGGATCTTTTCTAGTTCTTTCATACTCATCCTCCCCATTCTTAATCTTCTTCTGATTTCCTGACTGCAGTCCCCATTTCTATCAATGTTTGTTCCCAGGTTTGAGAAATCCTTTACTATTTTTATTTCCTCATTGTCTAGGTTGAATTTGTGTAAGTTCTCTATGATCATTATTTTTTGTTTTATGTTCAACATTAAGCCTGCCTTTGCACTTCTTTTATCTTCCTTAGTAGTTGTTCCAAGTCTGTGAGGCTTTCTGCTAATATTATGGTGTCATCTGCATATCTTTGTTGATATTCCTTCCTCCTAGTTTCACTCCTCCTCCTTTTGTGTCCAAGCCTGCTTTTCTTATAAAAAGTTTTGCATATAAATTGAATAGGTAGGGTGATAGGATGCATCCCTTTGCCAATTGGTTTCTCCATGTTCTGTCCTGACAGTAGCCTCTTGTCCTGAGTACAGATTCCTCATTAGGACTATCAGATATACTGGCACTCCCATGTCTCTAAGGGTGTTCCATAGCCTTTCATGATCTCTGCAGTCAAAGGCTTTCCTGTAGTCTGTAAAGCGCGTGCTGATTTTCTTTTGAAATTCCCTATTGCGCTCCATTAGCCATCGTATATTTGCAATGTGATCCCTGGTGCCTCTTCCTTTCCTGAACCCAGCTTGGACCTCTGGGATCTCTCTTTCCATGTATGGTTGCAGCCTATGTTGCAGAATTTTGAGCATGATTTTGCTTGCGTTGGAGTGCTATGGTCCTATAGTTGCTGCAGTCTCTTGTGTCTTCTTTTTTG